CAATAAACTGAATGTTCCCGGAAATCAAAGAAGAACACACCCATGCAGTCAGTAATAACAACTTGCCTTAGATGTGGAAAAGTGGGGCATTTTGCTAGGCACTGTCAGTCGACTCATCATGCTGATGGACATTTACTGTCAGGAAACGGGAAGATGAGCTCGAGGCTATGCACTCTGACACAAGTACCTGCCACGATCGACCAACTTACCCAGCACTTCCAGAGACCACAGGCCTATGCGACCGGTTATCAGGAGGGACATAAGGAGCAACCAGAATGGATGTATCCACAGCCTCAACAGTAACCATTTCCACTATGGGGGTTCATAAAGTCCCTCTGGATGCTTGGGGACCTATTGACAGGGGTTTAAGTGCCTTGATAATTGGTAGGTCAAGTGCTACCATTCAGGGGATCATGGTACATGTAGGAGTTATCGATGCCGATTATACTGGGCAGATATGTGCCATGGTATCAACACCTACCCCTCCTCTTTGTATTGAAAAGGGACCGTGCATTGCTCAACTTATACCCTTTATGAGCTGTTTTCCTAGGACAAAAAACGTCATCCGAGGCACAGGAGGATTTGGATCTACTGGAGTTCCTCAAGGCCCCTGGACTCAGACTGTGAATGACCATCGACCTCAAATGACCTGCGTGCTGAGTATGGCACATGCATCTCCCACTACAGCAAAGGTATCTGGGTTATTGGACACTGGTGCGGATGTTACAGTCATTTCAATGAAGGACTGGCCTACTTCTTGGCCTTTGGTCCCTACCTTTCAGGTTGTTGTAGGTTTGAGAGGTACTTCCACCGGGTGCCTTGCAGCTAAACCAGTGCTCATCACCAACCCAGAGGGCCAAACTTCCACCATTTGGCCCTATGTGACTGTCGCACCGTTGAACTTGTGGGGAAGGGACTGTCTTTCTCAGTGGAGGGTCCATATCACTACGGATTTTCCCTAGGGTCACTTTGATGCAGGTGAGACAACCCACAGTAGCTTTAAAATGGTTATCAGATAAGCCTGTGTGGGTTGAACAGTGGCCCCTTAACAATGAGAAACTCATCACCCTGCATACTTTAGTTCAAGAACAATTAGAAGCAGGTCATATCGAGTCGTCGCACAGTCCATGGAACACTCCTGTGTTCGCTATTAAGAAGAAATCAGGAAAATGGAGACTCCTACAGGATTTACGTCAAGTCAATCAGGTGATGGCAACAATGGGAGCATTGCAGCCAGGGTTACCCTCGGCAACAATGATTCCCATGAGTTGGCCTATTGTAATCATTGATTTGAAAGATTGTTTCTTTACCATTCCTCTACATGCAGATGATAAGGAAAAATTTGCTTTTACTGTTCCTTCAGTAAACCATGCTGAGCCTTCTAGATGGTACCACTGGAAGTTTTTGCCACAGGGCATGAAAAATTTGCCTACCATCTGTCATTGGTGTGTTGCCCAAGCCTTGAGCCCTGTTAGAGAAAAATATCCTAAAGGATATTGTTACCATTATATGGATGATATCCTTCTAGCGGCTTCTTCCAGTGAGATGCTGTCTGCTATGGAGTCCAACACCCATGCTTCTTTGAAACAGTATGGTTTGGTTGTGGTTCCAGAGAAAGTACAGTGTGCTCAGCCATGGTTTTACCTTGGCATGAAGGTACTTGAACGTACCATTCAACCACAAGCCCTTAAATTGAATACAAAGGTTAAAAATTTGAATGATGTCCAAAAATTGGCAGGGACTATAAATTGGCTACGTCCTTATCTTGGTCTAACCACATCCCAAATACAGCCTTTAATTGATCTTTTAAAAGACCATTCATACCTTCAAGCTCCTCGAAAATTGACCCCCAAACAAAGCAAGCTACTACTTTAGTGGAACAGTACATGCAAACCAAACATATATGGAGAATTGCCACTGATGTTGCAGTTCAAGTCTATATCCTTATCGAAAGCATGGTTCCTTTTACCATGATTGCACAATGGAACCCTACCTGGCATGATCCTTTGCATGTATTGGAATGGCTTTTCCTGTTGGTGCACTCCAAGAAAACTGCTCCTGGTTTATTTGAACTTCTAGAGCAACTAATTATAAAGGCACGTTCCCGTTGCATGGAACTTATTGCACATGATCCTGAGGTCATCGTAGTTCCTGTGCAACTAGATTATTTCGAATGGTACTTGGCCAATAGTTCTGCTTTACAAACGGCATTGACCAATTACACCGGTGCTATTAAGTACCATATGCCATCTCACCCCCTGTGCAAATTACACGATCAGGTTTTGTTGGGACAGAAACTTCTTTCTTTCACGACACCTGTGCCTGGACCCACCGTAATTACTGAAGGGTCCGGAAAGACAAAAAAGGGGGTTGTGACTTGGTACGACAGTCACAAATGGCTACACATTGTTGAACTTCAAGAAGGTTCACCCCAGGTCATCGAACTTTGAGCAGTTACTGTTGCGTTTCAGCATTTTTCCTGCTTAGTTAATATTGTCACTGATTCTGCATATGTAGCCGACTTAGTTCGACGCTTAGATAAAGCGGTCCTTCGAGAGGTCTTGAATGCCCTCTTGTTTGGGATCCTTCATTTGCTGTGGGAAACAACTCAAAAACGTACTAATTCTTATTATATTTTACATGTGCCTAGTCACACCAGTTTACCAGGTTCTATAGCCACAGGCAATGCTCATGCGGATCGCCTTGTTTCACCCTCTACTTTGGGCCCAGGGCCCAATCTTCTGCAACAGGCGATCACCTCACATCAATTTCTCCATCAAAGCTGGCGAACCTTGGAACTACAGTTTCATTTAACACATGCTGAAGCTTGTTCCATCATTGCTGCATGCCCTGACTGTCAAGGTCAGTCAGTACCTGCCTTCTATGGTACTAACCCAAGAGGGCTGCAGGTTTTACAGATTTGGCAAACTGATGTGACCCATATAGTGGAATTTGGATGCTTAAAATACGTACATGTATCTGTTGATACCTTCTCCTCTGTTATAGTTGCTACTGCCCATACAGGTGAAACTGCCCAGGACGTTATTCATCATTGGCTGCAGACCTTTTCTACGTGTGGAGTTCCACACCAAATTAAGACCGACAATGGTCCTGCCTATGCCTCTTCCTGGGTGCAATCGTTTCTCCAAATGTGGGGGATCTCTCATGCCACCAGTATTCCTCACTCCCCCCAGGGTCAAGGTATTGTGGAACAAGCACATGGTATTGATATCTTGGAGTTTTGATGTTTTGATTTTTTTAATTTTTGTAGATCTTAGAAGTAGTTATGTAGTAAATGTAGATTTTAGAGTAGCAGCATGTTATCCCTTTACCCTTTAACACACCAGCTCAAACCCCTGTTACCCATTCCCATATCAATTCCCTAAATTCCATAGCCTGTTTAGTCTCTTTTTCAAGGTAAAATTGTAGAAGAACACCCTAACCCTATGGAAGAAGATACAACCATAGACCAAACAACCTTCAGACCTAGAATTCTGGAAGGCCTCCAAGGACATTACGTGTTCTGAGGAAGATGAAGATGAAGAAGAGGGGGTCCCAAAATGCCCCCAGACCCAATTTCCAAGAGGCGTGGCGGGGGCAGAACCTGGGTGGTGGCTGGACGGGGATTGGGTGAAAATCATTATTAAAACTGTGGACATCTGTATTTCGGGAGTGCGTGTTGGAGTATTCCAGAAAACCTGGGGGTTCATTAAAGCCTTTGTATCCTTATCTTATCTCCTACCTAATTTGGCTTGGAGTCTTTTTTTCCCCACAGCCATTTAGGTAACAGTATCCTTAAGCGTCAATTACAAAAAAACAGAAGGTGGGAATGTCTGGGGAAACCCCTGAAGCTCGCCTCACTAAGGCTACCTATGTGCTCAATTTTGTTAACACCGCAGAGGACTGGCATTTTGGGTCCTTAGGAAAATCCACACAATATGGTTTTCCGGTAAAATAAACTGAGTCATAGTTGGCTGACATGCGCAGTTAGCAGAATTACATAATGTGATTAGCTGCCAATGGGGAGTTATTTACGTAACTTGAAGACCAATGAAGAGTTAACATGTGTAGACTAAAAAGTGTATAAAATCTGCAGCGGCGTGCAATAAAGGGTTCCAGTTTCTGGTTCCACGAGGGTTCGTGCCATCTGTCCTGTCTCGACCGCAACAGTATCTGATGAAATCCATAGGCTGGACTGTCAGATATATCTATGAATAACTGGATAAGGAGTTACTGTGTACAAGTTTAGCCCCACAACTTGGTCTGTTTCCTCCTGTGTAACAGCACTTGGACTCTGTAACAACAGCAACAAAGTGCCCACTCAATTATAAACCACAGATTATAAACTTATAGATCATTTATGTCATATGGAGTTAGTGAGTTAGAGCATCATGTGGCTTTATCACCAGAAATTGCTAAGAATCATCTTTAAAAAATTTTTTTTCAAGGTTGAAATATAAGATTTGCAATAGATAGTAAGTACTGGAACAAGGGAGATCCCTCCAGGATTGATGAAAAAAGAAATAATTCTAGCTGTTTATATACAACAGTGTAACTGTGAATATTCTGACCCAGAAAAATTTTTGATCTGTTTTTTATCTTTCCCCTTGTTATCTGTTCTTCCTCAGGTTTTTCCTGCCTTCTACTCATCCACAGTTACATGGAATGGGTATTATTCTGGGTTATTTACCTCTCTGTCAGTATCACCCCTTACCATGTGGCAATAAAACAAAACCTAAATAGCCAATGCAATTGACTTCCTACTTACTGTTTATTAAATAACGTGTATTTAGCTAGGAAAACATGCTGTTGCTCTTTATGACATTAGGGCTGTCTATATTCCCATATTTAGGTACTCTGCCTAGTAACTTCCCCTGGGGAGTCTATTCTCCAGACAACCTAGAATAAGAGATCTCATGCTATGAGCTATATTTATAGCCCTCCTGTAACAGAAATCCAGGAAATAAACTCTAACCAGTTTGTTAGGTTAGAAAGCCAACATTACTTTATTCAGTGTCGAGGTACATGAGGATAGTTCCATAAAACATGTATATCAGTTATCAAATTTTTAACTATTTATACATTTTAGCAAACAAAGGAATTAGTGTCCATTGGGTTACAAGTTATGTAGTTCTCATTAATTAGCATTCTATCTTTTATTGGTTATTGATTTCTTACTTTTCATGCAAATTAGTCCTCATTTTTGTCTTTTTATTATCTTTTTCCCCAATAGGGAGAGTCTCAGTAATTGTAATTGTCTTTGTTAGTTTCTTCTTCATGTCTGGTTTCTGTAAGTGTCTTTGTGGTTTATAAATTCTGCATTCTTTGTGTACAGGTCTCAACAATAAATTTCTCTCAGGTCTAAGAGCACTGAAGCATGTCAGGCTCTAAACTTTTAGTTTGTTTTTTTAACACATGGACATCACCCAGAGCTTGCCCATCATCTGTTATCTATTTCATGGATTAAATCTCCTCTAAACAATTTCTCCCCCACTGCTGCATAGGCCCCTTTTTAAAGAAATATAACTTGTTCTGTAACAAATTCCCCCTTTGAGACTTCAATATAATTTTTTTAAAGTCTCATATTAATTTATTTTATCAACCTAGTCTACACATTCTGTTGCATCCTAATTTGCAAATTTGGAATAAAACCCATAAGCCAACAATTAATATCAAAACTGCGATAAGTATGACAATTGGTTTTCTTGCAATCACACTTAAATTTGGGATCCGTGATGTCATCCAATAAAACACATCTTCCACTTGACCTTTTTGTATTTCATGAAAGATTTTGCTGTTCCGTCTTATTTCTTCCAAATCAGTTTGAATTCTTAAAGTCTGATCCATGTATACACAGCAACTGGTGTTAAAGACTGTGCACACACCACCTTTGGAAGCCAAAAGCAGATCTAGAGCCATTCCATTTTTTTTGACTACTTTTGAAAGGCTGATAATTTCTCTCTGCAAAGCACTGATTGCATAATTTGTTCAGTTTTCTAGTTGTTTGATAACTCTGGATATGTTCACTATAGCCTTCTCCAATTTAGGTACTCCTAACCATGGTAGGAGTCCTCTCACAAACATGTGGAATCCAGAGGACCTCTCAACTAATCGATTTAAAGTTCATTTGTGTCTTGTTATAAAAGATCACAGATGTCCTCTGGGGAATTCTGATTTATCAATGACATCTACTTTTGGTACTACAGCTCCAATGGTACATATTCCTTGCCATCCAAGGGGTATAGCTTTTCTAGCCTGGTTTCCACAAAACCAGTAATATCCCATATTATCTGGAATAGGCCACTATTGTGTATTTAAAATACTCCTTTCTATTACATCCAAATACGAATGACACTTGAGATAATCTTCTACTAACACTCCTTGCCTACAATTAGGTGACTCCATTTTCCAGTGAGGGGCTGCTCCTGGTCCTTTTAGGCATTGTTGAACACAGGATGTCTCAGTGACTATTACTTCTACCAGCACGATTTGTTGGTCTATGGGGGGTTGGGCTGTTTCTCCCTCCAAAAGGTGCATCACTCCAGTTGGAGGAAGAGCATTGGAGAATACACTTGATGTTGGAAGTCCTATCATCTGAATACTTTCATCTGAATGAGTAGGAAATTGAGAACAAATCCAACAATTACTACTATTTGTTATCAGTGTTACGTCTTGCATTAGTTTTAGATGTGAATTTTTCTTCCAAGAGTCAGGTAGTATTTGTTCTATTTGTGTCATGTTACAGTGGTCTTTAGGGAAAAGGACATTGCTCCCTTTCCCTAAAGCCCACTTACACCTTGGACACTTGAAGCCATACTAGCCATTACAATCATTAATTGCAAGGCCTTGCTAGGATGGTTGACTAATCCAGGAACAAATAACCATGTTGTAATACTGGAAATCTTGTTCTGTAAACACAAAAAGATAAACCATTTAACATCTTTCATTTTAAAGTCTCTGGTTCCATTGCAGCTTTATCTGCAGCAGATTTGCTGTTTGCTATACTGTCCAGTAAGGTTCTTCTGGGTTCAAAGCTGGTTTGATTCAGCTGTAATGGATCCATGAATCTGCTCCATGCATCTTCACAGCAGTATTGACAGTTAGCAGCACTTGATATGGTCCCTTCCATCTTTCTTGGAAAGGTTCTTCAATCCAGTTGTTGGGGTATACCCAGTCTCTGGGTTGATATGGATGGGGGCATCATCCAGCGTCATGGGTGCTGCCATCACAACATATCTGTGGAGAGAAGACGACACCTTCCCTAGAGATATAACATATTCTGTTAGACTTTGATCCCCACCAATTTGGATATTCCCTTTGCTTTCTGTAACCTGATATGGTCATCCATACAATATTTTGTATGGGCTCACCTTTTCCTTGGATGTTGGTCTAATTCATACCCTCAGTAAGGCCAAAGGAAGGGCATCTGGTCATTTTAAATATGATTCCTGGCAAATCTTGCTAATTTGTCTTTTTATACTCTGATTCATTCTTTCTACTTTCCCCTCAACTGAGTTCTCCATGGAGTATGCAAGTCCGATTTCACCCCTAATGTTTTAGCTGGGCTTTGCACTATTTCAGCAATGAAGTGTGAACCTCTGTCTGATGACATTCCCACTGGCATTTCAAACCTTGGGATAATTTCTTTCAACAAAATCTTTACCACCTCCCTAACTTTGTTGGTGCAACAAGGAAAAGCTTCTGACCATGCTGAAAAAGTATCTACCAGTACCAATAAACATCTGTATCTGTTTTGTCATGGAAGCTCTGCAAAGTCTATTTGCCAATAGTCTCATGGCCAATTTCCTTTCTCAACAGTCCTGGGTGTAGGCCATGTAATTTGATGTGTATTGTTCTTTAAACAGGTTTAGCACTTTCGAACAATGTTTTTTATGATCCCAGTCATTCATACACTCAAAACTTGAGGCTTCAATGCTTCTACCATAAATTCTATTCCCCAGTTGATACAATTTCAGTTTGCATCTGCTACCTGACAGGACATGTCATTTACAAGGCTTAGTAAAAAGTTGCTGAAATCTGACTGCCTCTGTCCTTCCTGTCCTCTTTGATACCCCTATAAACCACATCCTGCTTATGGTTCTAGGCTTGCATGGATGAATACAATCCATAAAAAAGGCTGCAAGGCTGACCCTGGTAACTACAGGCCTGTCAGCCTGACCTCGGTGCCTGGCAGAGTCATGGAGCAGATCATCCTGTGTGCAATCACACAGCAACTACAGGATGGACAGGGGATCAGACCCAGCCAGCACGGGTTTAGGAGAGGCAGATCCTGTTTGACCAACCTGATCTCCTTTTACAATCAGGTGACCCACCTGGTAGATGAGGGGAAGGCTGTGGATGTGGTCTATCTGGACTTCAGCAAAGCCTTTGACACTGTCTCCCATAATATACTCCTGGAAAAGCTGGCAGCCCATGGCTTGGACAGGGGCACTCTCTGCTGGGTTAAGAACTGGCTGGAGGGCCAGGCCCAGAGAGTGGTGGTGAACGGGGCTGCATCCAGCTGGCGGCCGGTCACCAGTGGTGTCCCCCAGGGATCAGTGCTGGGTCCAGTCCTGTTTAACATCTTTATCGATGATTTAGGTGAGGGGATTGAGTCCATCATCAGCAAATTTGCTGATGACACCAAGTTGGGAGGGAGTGTCGACCTACTGGAAGGCAGGAGGGCTCTGCAGAGGGACCTGGATAGACTGGAGAGATGGGCTGACTCCAAGGGAATGAAGTTCAACAAGGCCAAGTGCCGGGTCCTGCACTTTGGCCACAACAACCCCCTGCAACGCTACAGGCTGGGGACAGAGTGGCTGGAGAGCAGCCAGGTGGAAAGGGACCTGGGGGTGCTGATCGACAGGAAGCCGAACATGAGCCAGCAGTGTGTCCAGGTGGCCAAGAAGGCCAATGGCATCCTGGCCTGCATCAAGAACAGTGTGGCCAGCAGGAGCAGGGAAGTGATCCTTCCCCTGTACTCTGCGTTGGTGAGACCGCACCTTGAGTATTGTGTTCAGCTCTGGGCCCCTCAGTTCAGGAAGGATATTGAGGTGCTGGAGCGGGTCCAGAGAAGAGCAACCAGGCTGGTGAAGGGACTTGAGCACAAGTCCTATGAGGAGAGGCTGAGGGAGCTGGGGTTGTTTAGTCTAGAGAAGAGAAGGCTTAGAGGTGACCTCATCACTCTCTTCAACTACCTGAAGGGAAGTTATAGTCAGGTGGGGGTTGGTCTCTTCTCCCAGGCAACCAACAATAGGACAAGGGGACATGGGCTCAAGCTCTGCCAGGGGAAGTTTAGGTTAGATGTTAGGAAGAAATTCTTTACAGAGAGGGTGATCAGGCATTGGAACGGCCTGCCCAGAGAGGTGGTGGATTCACCGTCCCTGGAGGTTTTTAAAAAGAGATTGGACATGGCCCTTAGTGCCATGATATAGTAATTAGAGTTGGATCAGGGGTTGGACTTGATGATCTTGGAGGTCTTTTCCAACCCAATCTATTCTATGATTCTATGATTCTATGAATAGTAGGGAAGCAACTGTTTCTCATGCAGGATGTCTCAATCTTCAGAGGTTTTTTAGAAAATAAGATTTCTCTAGAGTAACTTCAAAGAAACTCTGGTATTATACAATAATCTGTACTATCACCTACCAACAAAAACTGCTTCCTTCTATTTCACTGTTTTTTTTTTTTCTTTTATCTGTGATGGAAGACATTCTTAAATGTTCAGAAAGATGTGTGATGTTTAAGACCTGTTGCAAAACTTGTCAGGATAGTCCTCTGGGGAAATTGTTCCTATATGACAAATATGTACAGAATAGTTAGTTCCAGAAGTAAATATTCATTCTGAAATCATAGGACTTTTGAAAAGTGTAACTCAGATATGTTTACAAAATTAAACCCTTCCCAAAGCAGAAAAAAATTTTCATATAAGTTAATTCTCATCTGTAATTCATTTAATAGCTTAATTTATTAAACACAGTATGTAAAATCTACATTGTTGTTTCACTTTAAATGTTTACACACAGGCTGATTTTTTTTTTTTAAACCACAATGTGACAAGAGCTTTCCATAGCCTACCTTCCTATGGGAGATACAAATATTAAATACTACAAGAATTCCTGGCTCAATTAACTCTCTTTTCATTGCCTTCCCTTTATTTCCCTCCAGGCCTTGCAGAAACAAACAGGTTTGTATTACAAAAGTAATTTTTAAACAGTTCCAAGGGAAAGACTGCTGATATGAACTCCTGGAAATGGAAAGAACTCCTAGAGAGGTCTACAATTCTTCATTTGACAATTCATTTGTACATGGAAGGTCAATCTTTTTGGGGTACTGACTTGCAAAAATAACTTGAATACCACCACCTACAAAGTGCTGATACACATGATGCATTTGAGGGAATTCAGGTACTTATAGGATTTCTATAAGTACTAGATAGAGATATTGTGCAAATCCTCAAATGATGCAATTTCACCTCACTTTTCAGTTGCTGTCATTGTACAAAGGGAAAAATAGGTATTAGTTACTTTTTTTTAAGCATCAGAGCTACTTAAACTATCTGCAAACTGCAGTTAATGTACATGTAAGCCTGTCACGCATCAAAAGCCAAATTTTAACAATATGTGAAATGCATTTCTTTACATGGATCCCTGAATTTTGACAGTTAGCCTATCCATACGCAGATGTCAGATTGTACCTTTATTCTGATAGCATTATCACACCATAACACATACTGTATATCTATCTGCATTATTCTAAGATACAACTCTCCTCAGTACTTAAACATTACCCTTTATTATACATCAACCAATGTATTTTTTGTTCATTTTTTCCTCTTTTTTTTTTTTTTAATTACAGAGAAAATGTTATCTAACTATTCATTATGGTATTGAAATAAACATAAATTCCAGATATTTTACAAGGAGGATGGAATGACCAACTGTATGTTCACTCTAACAGCTCTTGCAGTTCCTGTTTGAAGGATATGGCACATGCTGTGAAATGCATTAGCCACCAAAAAAAAAGCCTCAAAATACTTAAAAAATATACACACACTCAAAGTAATTTATATTGACAAATAAGGAATGTTGTTTGTTAAGTCTGTGCTTCAGAGAGAGGATGTTTAGGGTTAAGTAGCCTTCATCAAGGCACAAAATGGGAAGAGGTAAGCACAGCTGTCTGTAGAAGTTATATAAAACCACTAGTGAGGTACGCATGCAGTAACACTATTTAAAAGTGTACAACTGGTCTTTGTAACAAAACTAAACATAGTTAAAAGGAAATACTGTGACTTTTCATTTGCCACAGTTCTACTTCATTATTAAAAACATGGCAAATATTTCCAAACATAAATTTCACATTTTGAATAAATGAAATTTTAAACAAAGTGCTTCGCAGATCTGAACCCTGCACGGTTGTACTGTGTGGTCTAGAAGCATTTTGTAGACATCATAGGAGCATTTCACACAAAGTTGAAAACATAATTCAGATGAATAATAAACAGGACATTTTTAACAGTTTTACACTTTCAAGTAGTCGAGTTCTTACGGCCACTGGGTTTTGTAACAAATGTGTCCTATAGCAGTACAGGTTCATAGATTCCTTTAGCAGCAGAGACCCATTTCAAAGGGCACGTGGTCTTTTTGAGTTGATCTGTTTACTGGCCTGTTCCTCCTCTTGTAGAGCTGCCCGGAAAGATTTCACTTTATCTTTAATGAAAAAGAGAGAATGAGTACTGATGTGCCTGTGCTCAACACAGATCCTGAAACTAAGGCCTGATGCCCCACATACTGGCCCTAATGCAAAACAAAGAACATTCCTCCATAAAAATAGCTGAAGATACAAACTACAAGAGGACTGAGATAAGCTTAAATTTAATACTCATCATACAAACTAGTTGCTTAGCAACTTAGTCCCTTCTTAGATATTACCCCTATCTCTTCTTAGGAAGAAATTCTTCTCTGTGAGGGTGGTGAGGCACTGGAACAGGTTGTCCAGAGAAGCTGTGGCTACCTCATCCCTGGAAGTGTTCAAGGTCAGGTTGGATGGGGTTTGGAGCAACCTGGTCTAGTGGAAGGTGTCCCTGTCTGTGGCAGTAGATTGGAATGAGATGATCTTTAAGGTCCCTTCCAACCGAAAACATTATGTGATTCTATGATAACAACTTTTCTATGAATGTGAAAAGCATTTGTGATTAAATTTGGGAAGTAAATAGATAAATGCATCGACCATTTGTTTCATCATAGCTAGCATGAGAATGGAAGAAACCTGAGAAAAGATGTCATTCTTTCATATTCATATTCCTCCCCACTCCCATTCCCCAGTAATATGCCCAAGAATGGGAAGAAGGAAACCAAAATGACAGCATAAAAAAGTCAGTCCTAAAGTGACAGGAATAAAAGCTGAAATATTCAGTGACCATTATGTGTCATAAGCATAACACAAAAGTTACTGTGAGAAAGAATCTTTGATTTAACAGTTCTTCCCTACTATAAAGCTATATATGTATCATGCTGTCTGTAAAGATGCAAGGATCTTTTAGATATCCTTTATCTCCAGTATCTTATTTCAAAAACCATATCTAATAAGTTATGGAAGAACAGGGAGTCACCAAAACTATTTTTTTCATTGCTGTTGTCTCAAATTGTTTTTCCCTGAAGAGGAAGTCATCATCCCTAAGAAGCAAAGGAATGTACATCTAATTCTTTGCTAAAGTATACTGGTGCCAATACATGCGTACAAAGTAAGCAGGTCACATCCAATTTGCTTGATGTCTTCTTACAGCAGATACTCAGTCTGAGTAAAATGTAAGGTTTTATCTTATAAGGAGTTTTCTAACAGATAAAAAACCCAAACCAGTATTGCATGTCTGCTGGAATGCAGAGAGATACAGAAACTAAAATGAAAAATTAATCTCCATGAGCTGACACGTTGATTTTAGAAGATAAGTGGAAGAGTCAGTTTTGGGAACTAAGAATTATCTGCTGTTGGTTTTTCAACAAAGAGAGGCTGACAAAATTTCAACAGAAAGGCTGCTAAGGTAAAATAGGCTAACAGCCAAGCTAGTCAGAACTCAATGTTACTCTTAAGCACAGACTGAAAAAACAACAGCAGGCTTCCTGCTACATTACAGAATGCAATAGAACAGGAACTGGGAATTCCTACTACTTTTTTCCTCATTGCATTACCTTCTTTTTTTTTTTTCTGTACAGTTCTTTTGGATTTTCTTTTTCCTTCTTTTATTCTTTTGGAACAAAGAAAAAAACAACCCAAAGTTGCAGGATCAAGTTTGTACTTCCTGGAGGTAAAGCAGACTCTTCCTTTAAACTAGGATGGATTGAATACAGATGTGAACTTGTTCTTAGGCAGTAAAATAAATGTTCCTTTCACAGAACATTACAGGACAGCATAAGGTGAAAAAAGACCCCAAAACATAACCACACTATTTTTTCCTTCTCATTATTACTGCAAGTCTCCATGGCATATGAAAATGCACACAAAAGTGATTAAAAGCAATCTACCTCTAAGTTCGGTCAGAATATCAATTTTTTGCTCTAGAATTGCTTCAAGTTGGGTAGCATAAGAATCCACATCATAGTCTACTTCTTCTGTCATCTCAAGAAGAGTTTTTTCATCTTCCAGCCATCTAATAGATTCCTAGGTAAAAGTTAAAAAAACCTCAACTAAATACATTAGCAAAGTTTCAAGGCAAATTTCAAGACAAAGAGCTGAATTACTCCTTTTCTCAAGATGACCACACTTTTACTGTCTAGTCACCTCACAATAACAGGTTTCAATCCTAAAATGAATCCTTTTTCCTAATTCAGCAAAATTTTACATTTTCTACATAGTTTCTTAACTCCAATGGTCATAACAGCAACAGATAAACCCCAGCTGCCACAGTTCTCTTCAAATTCAGAACTTAGATGGTTGTAAAACTAAGAGATTAAGAGCTTTATGTCATAGTTATGTATGCTTATGTAGGTATCAAACTTTGAACCCAGACTTCAATTTTAAGTATGGGATGGTTACCACTAACTATAATCACAGTGTCATTATTACAGTCAAGGAGTCAAAATAATTCTGTCCATACTCAAAACCAGTTTTGAGAGAAGGTGTATAAAAGAAGAGCATTTTTAATCTCTCTATTGCAAGAGGTAACTCCCCAGACAGATAAGAGTACTGTAAAAGACAGTTAAAAAATCTCTTAGGCATCTTTGCATTCTGAATATTACAAATTTAAAAAAAAAAAAAAAAGAGGGAAAAAAAAAAGAAAAAGAAAAAAGCCTTACAGCAAAGAAGAATGCAACCAGGAGCTTAAAGCTTACAGAATCATGCAAAGCTCTGATCAGGAGACCTTATCCCATTGTATTAAAAATAAAGTAAGCAGCTGACAGTTCCATGCATGATGAGCCTGAAATACTAAAATTAAGTCTTTCTCTCTGTGCTCAGTAGTCCAAGTAATATTGAAAGAATAGTCCAAACCCTGTGTAGGTTTTGTTGACTTTCAGGACAGATGGAGCTCTCACATTGGGGTAGGATTCATGTCATCTAACATAAACTTGTATATCCAAGAAGCAAAGGAAGATCAAGACCTCCATAGTACAAATCATTCAGCTAATCTACTTTAGAGATTTTTGTTAGAATAGGATGTTTTATATCCCAGAATCAACAGCTTCCGGGAAAAAGTTGACAGAAGACAACTTCTGCATGTTACAGCTTGTAGATTTTGTATTGGTGCAGCCCATCTTCACTCATGGCATAAACTAACAAGTAATGCTGCAAACGAAGGTAGCTGAGACTCAGACACATTTCCTTCTAATGACTGTTGTATGGAGCAGTAATCTCCAGGATAAGGCTAGATGGATACACAGAAGTAGTAACATCTTAAACTAATGCAGTTTGTCTCTCCAGAAGTTGCAAGCATTAGGACACAGCTATGGCATATGGCATAAGACTTTCACACTTCTGCATGCTTTACTTCAGGGATAATGTTTCACAATAACTAAATCTCTACATCTGTTGTAAAATGTGTTATTTAGCATCCTACTGTATTACATGAACACACATCAATGTTCCACTAAGTTAGATACCTAAATTGAGATACGTTTAATATTTTGCTATTTTCTTGCAGTAGATGCTCCAAATGAACAGCCTGCCTAAAGATTATAAGGTTATTAACAGAAGCAATTCACATTTCCTTCTGAAAACTAGTAACTCATATATATGTTTTTACCATTTATTTGGTGAATGTAAAAAGCTCCATGGTACTGACCAGCATTACACTATGTGGTCAGCACTCCTTTCAAAGACCCTGACTAATAGCAAGTGAAAACCTTATGTATCTGTAAAATGGAGGTAAACAAGTAGTTAGAAATATATTTGTTTCTTCTGGTCCTCAGTATCTCAGAGGAAGATGTCATGAAAGGATATTTAGAGAAAATATTTGGAGATGGTATTGCTGTCTCTTTAGAGGGAGATGACACCAGTAGGACAGGTGGCCCTCAGGACAACTGGACTCTGGAGCTGGTAGACAGGGAGAGGAAACCAAATAGCCCCGCTGTGTTCCAGGAGGAAATAGTCAGTGGCTTACCGAGCCACCTGGATCCACACAAGTCAATGGGACCAGATAGGATCCACCCTAGGGTGATGAGGGAGCTGGCAGAAGAGCTTGCCAAGCCGCTCTCCATCATTTACCAAGAGTCTTGGCTCTCTGGGGAGGTCCCAGATGATTGGAAGTTGGCAGATGTCACGCCGATCTACAAAAAGGGCTGCAAGGAGGATCTGGGCAACTATAGGTCGTTCAGCCTGACCTCAGTGCCTGGCAAGGTTATAGAGCAGATTATCCTGAGTGCAATCACACAACACCTACAGGATGGACAAGGGATCAGAGCCAGTCAGCATGGGTTTAGGAAGGGCAGGTCATGTTTGACCAACCTGATCTCCTTTTACGATCAGGTGACCCACCTGGTGGATAAGGGGAAGGCTGTGGATGTAATCTATCTGGACTTCAGCAAAGCCTTTGACACTATCTCCCATAATATACTCCTGGAAAAGTTGGTAGCCCACAGCTTGTACAGGTGCACTCTCTGCTGGGTTAAGAACTGGCTGGAGGGCCGGGCCCAGAGAGTGATGGGGAAAGGGGCTGCATCCAGTTGGCGGCTGGTCACTAGTGATGTCTGCCAGGGATCAGTGCTGGGCCCAGTCCTGTTTAACATCTTTATCGATGATTTAGATGAGGGGATTGAGTCCATCATTAACAAATTTGCAGACGACACCAAGTTGGGAGGGAGTGTCAACCTACCGGAAGGCAGGAGGGCTCTGCAGAGGGACCTGGATAGACTGGAGAGTTAGACTGATTCCAACGGGATGAAGTTCAACAAGGCCAAGTGTCGGGTCCTGCACTTTGGCCACAACAACCCCCTGCAGTGCTACAGGCCGGGCACAGAGTGACTGGAGAGCAGCCAGGTGGAAAGGGATCTGGGGGTGCTGATTGACAGGAAGATGAACATGAGCCAGCAGTGTGCCCAGGTGGCCAAGAAGGTCAGTGGCATCCTGACCTGCATCAAGAACAGTGTGGCCAGCAGGACAAGGGAAGTGATCCTTCCCCTGTACTCAGCGTTGGTGAGGCCACCCCTTGAGTATTGTTCAGTTCTGGGCCCCTCAGTTCAGGAAAGATGGGGTGCTGGAGCGGGTCCAGAGAAGAGCAATGAGGCTGGTGAAGGGACTTCACAAGTCCTATGAGGAGAGTCTGAGGGAACTAGGATTGTTTAGTCTAGAGAAGAGGAGGCTCAGGGGTGACCTCATCACTCTCTACAACTACCTGAGAGGAGGTTGTAGTCAAGTGGGGGTTGGTCTCTTCTCGCAGGCAATCAGCAGTAGGACAAGAGGGCACAGGCTTAAGTTCTGTCAGGGGAGATTTAGTTTGGATATTAGAAAGAAGTTCTTTACAGAGTGATCAGGCATTGGAATGACCTGCCCAGAGAGGTGGTGGATTCACCATCCCTGGAGGTTTTTAAGATGAGGATGAATGTGGCACTGAGTGCCATGATCTAGTAATCACAGTGGGGTTGGATCAAGGGTTGGACTTGATGATCTTGGAGATCTCTTCCAACCCAGTTAATTCTGATTCTATGATTCTATGACCACATAGAAATGGTGCTGATAGAGACATTACTATATGGACACATTACTAATAATTGCCAGCTTTGGCATAGCAATACTGGCATAGATTAGACACTGAAATTGAAAATTTTGAGATCAATCTGAGTAAACTCCCCACAACTAGAAAAAACAGCCACTAATGCTGGAAAACAATTATCACAGAAAATATAGTAAATAGTTGAAATAGTAAAAAGAAAATAACATCTTTTCTTACAATGAACACAGTCTATTTAGGAGCATTTGCTGAGAAGAAAAGGAAAATTTTACTACATTTCTGGAGTGGTAGGAAATAGGTTTCTCTTTCATCATAGGGACAAAGAACAATGGTTATGGGATCTAAACATCTGTTCCTATTTCTTTGCTACAATGAGCTTAGTGTAATAAAATAATTTAGAAATCTCTGACAGCAGCAAAATGACCAGATGATATCCTACATCTTCAGGAGTATGCACTTTCAGCGGGAAAACCTGAATTCCTACATTAGGATAAAACAAAGAAGAGCTCCATCTTTTACCTGGAAGATAGCCCTGTGATCTTCTACTACTTGCTCTTCCATTTCCACCATTTGGGACACAGCTTCATGGAAAGTAAACAACTGTGGAGAAACTTCCTCTTCCTAAAATCAATAGTTAAGCTTGTTAGTATGGAAAGAACTGTGGTTACAGGAAATATATTGAATATTATCCATCCCATCAGAGAACATGAAAAGAAATATGCAGAAAGCAGAATCTGTCAAAAATAAAACAATACTTCGAACAAGAAAATCTCCAGAAATTAGTGGAGAGAACAATAAATTTAAACTGTTTACAGAGTTAAATTTAATTATTATTCATTAAAAATTTCCAGTCACTAACATTAGTGGATACTGGAAAAGATAATATTCCCCATGGAAAAAACCCCAAATTAAGATAGTGGGAGGAGGAAGTCACAAAGGAAGAATGTTAATTTCTAGTAGGTTTTAATAAGAAAACTTGTTTTCTGTCTGGGTTTTTTGTTGTGCCAATTTTCAAAAAAGAGAACAGCAATTACATTCAATACATTTCAGGAAATCAAAATTAAATTAACCCTTTGGAAAAAAAAGTGGAATAAATATAAAGTGAAAAATCTAAAAAGTGTGTAGTGATTAATACATTAGAAGAATGCACAACATGGATTTACAAACTGGGACAAACAGGAATTCTTTAGACATAAATATTTAATCACAATCAAAAGGGAAAGCACTAGGTAGGCTGCAAGACAATATGGTTCCTTATAATAGGCCTTTAAAATATTTTTAAAAACACATTGAAAAGCTTAATTGAATTTCACATGAACAACAAAAAAGTATGATATGAAAGGATATCTAGCTGGAAGGACTATCCAGTGGGAAGTTCTTAGAATCACTAGCATGTTCTTATAAAACAGAGTCCTGGAAGAAGACAGTTACTAAAATAAGAAATAAGAAATACAGCAAACACCATGAAGAGGCATTTGAAAAGGCAGAGAGTCTTGAGAAAAATAGGGTAGTAAGGATTTATCTTTTCTACCTTTCGTCAGCATTTTCACAAATGAAGTTGAACATTTAAGGAACCAGGACTAGAGCTGATAATCAGTATGGAGGGTAAAAATGCCCTTTAGAAAAAGCCTCTCAGTCCCACATCTCCACTTATGCAGCCCTGGGAGACATCCTGGGAACATGATGTGGCTTTCTCCCAAACATTTCTCTGGGGTTTCACTCCATGAAAATCAAGATGTGGGGAAGAAGAATGATGGGTAACCAGATTTCTAAACACGGAGAAGGGCAAACTCACTCAAAACAGGTGTTCCATGCAGGAAAAATAACGGTCAAAACTATGAGAGTGTTAAACAGATGCATTTCTCAGGCTGCTTCTAGCTATTTAATAACTGATGTAGTTATACTGGAAAAACACACACTAAAAATGTGAGAGCCTAGAGCAAACCCTGCCAAGATATTAAAAGCCCTAATCAGCAAGGAAGATAAAGAAAAGTAAAACATTCTCTTTTCACCATTCAAGAAACCTTTTTTGTGTTTGTATGGGAATGAACATAATACCATAAAATGAAAAGGCAAAGAGGCATGCTGTATCTACTTAATGATATTGCTAATAGGTTATAAATACACATTACTCTGGATTTGTTCTGCCACTGCATTTATCATCTCTTTCCATGTAATGCTGTAAACCACTCACATTTTGTTCACAAAGCAGTTTGAGATCATCTCTCTGAGGAGAGCTCCCCACACCCCACTGTGCCTCTAAGTCATCAATCTGATTGGGAGCATGGTGTATAATAGGACAGATTTCTTCTGAAGCACTAGGATCAACCATCAGCTCCTTCACCCTATTCAGAAAATATTTAATTTGTAAATTAGTAACTTCCTGTGCAAAAGAGTAGCAACCAAAAATAAAGCTCATCTAGGCATAATTTAATTCATTTAATAAGGATGATGTCAGCTTCACAAATTTAATGTACTTTCAGTGACAAAAAAATGTTAGTCCAACTCCTTAAAAGCACGGACTTTCAACTACTTACAGGTGGATTACAGTCCATCTTCTAGCAAGAGGTCTTTTTTGATTGAAATCTTACTACTCATTAACTATTAAGAGGGAAAAAATCTCCAAATCCTCAACATTAACTCCTTAACAATGAATAATATTTGAAAAAAAAGTTCATTCAGTATCCTAAACTTGAACATAATTTTTTTTCTGTACACACAATTGTGCTTTAAAAAAAGTAGTAAATCAGTACCCTACTAGCTATTATAAGCAAATCCAGCAAGAATTCTGAAGAAAATAAGAATTTGCAACCAAGTATCCCAGAGAATGAATAGATCCTTTAATTAAAATGCTTTCAAAGGTAAAAATATCTTATTAAAATGTTAGGTTCTTGCATCATGAAAATAGTTTAAAAGATTGATAATGATTCTATCCAAAAAATACCCATTTGAAAGAACATTTATGAAACAGACATGTCAAAGTCTGCAAGTATAATAAGTTTTGGAGTAAATTCTTCATTTTTTAAGGGGAATTTTTTTTTCAAGTAGCACATATTTACTACAATGGAAACTGAATTTCATTCATCTTCAGAATGATGAAAAGTTTTAAAAATATATACATATTAAAATTATTTTCTTTTTTAAGTAGATATATTCAAATTATCCTAAACACAGATTTGTCAGATTTGGTCCACTAAATGTACAAAGGTGACATCACCTTTTTTTTTTCTAATGTATGAAGGAAACTAGCAAGCCTGGATACAGTGTGGTTATTGTGAACAAAATAGTGGGAAGATGATTGCAGATCATGCAGAGCCATGACCTGACAAACAAAATAAAAACAAAGTATGTGTGATTCAAGGCAAGGGGACTAATGAAAAGTTGGTCTGTAAAATTACATTGCCAAAAAGAAAACTCAAAAATAAAGATTCCATGTATAGAATGAATTAGACCTGGTGATTGAAGGAGAAAAGTCATCATACTCATAGGAAGGAGAGAGATCAGAGCGACTGCCACTACCCTGTGAGAAGGGAATGTCTGAAGGACTAATTCCAAATTCCTTTACTCTGCGGCAGCAAATTAAAAGAAAATGTTTTCATAAACACAGTTAAAATGACAACTCTGTTTAGTATTCTTCTTTAATAGCTTAACAATAAATTATTTTTACATTAAAAAATAAAACTGTTGACATATTTAAATCTTCTGCAGAGTTGCAGATCACCAACAAAATCAGTGTTGGTAATTTGCAGAAGAGTATAATAGCAACGCTTTCAGAAGAGTAATTCCATATTTCAGTTTGTGCAGTTAATAATATTTGCTCTACATTCAGTATTTCATTAAACTGCTCCTTTTAACATATCAAACCACTACAATGCTTTAAATTCTATGCTGCCCTGTCTTACACTGCGCACACAGGGGTGTTCAGCACCTAAAAGTTAATTGTACTATGAAAATTATATATTTCAAGAAAAAATTAAAATACTACACAAAACACATGAAGCAAGTTTACAGTGATAGGCATAGAAAATTAATTCTACCCCAGCAAAAACCAGCACAACTCCATAACAACATACAAATTTAACACCAAGGGAAAGAAACTTTCAGCACAACAATTTAGTATACCAGAAGTAGGTATTTAATTTGTTTTTCAGTGCCTATTTCTGGAGTAACTTCAGCAATATGTATTCTATAAGGGATAGAAAGATCCAACGAGTCCCGAATAATGTGACATGTCCTTTGTTATGTTACTGTAAGCAGGGAAGTAGATGCCCACCTTCTCACCAGGAAGGAAATCACCTAGAGTGGTCCAAGCCAAGTAGATTTGCAACTAACTTGATACAAACAGAAAGACATTTGGATACTGAGAAGAGTGGGTGGTAAGCTACTCTAGCAACCCTTTGTGCCCAATTAGCGACTGGTTGTGGGAGGGGGGAGGAAGCAAAGCAGGAGAAGATGTGGTTCTGCCCTATCTTTCACTGGGGCAAGTAGGTCACTAGGTGGTAGCCTCTTTTGTTCTTGCGGTAAAGTGGTGGGTGGGTCTCTGGGCCACAGGTCTGACTGCAGGCACATGCAGGACCCCATCTCCACAAACATTAATCAAAGGAGAATTACAACTGTGGAAGGCTCCTTTGACATTCACTGCTTTCAGAAAGCAGTACAGGTCTTAGAGGTGCTGCATCAGCCTCTGGAGGCACTAACTTATCCACTGATTATGTCACTGTTGGATTAACTGGCTCTGTATTTAGGGGTCTCAGATATTTGCCTGAAGTTGGGAAATATAAAATTTAGGCCACAGCAATTGCAGAATTTTCATAAGCTAGTTTAGATAAATCTATATATGATATGATATGATATATCATATATATAAAAGTAACAGGCTGGCAACTGAATGCAATTCCACCAAGGGCATGAAAAATCACATTGCAGAAAGGTATTTCAGCTAACACCCAAGGGAATCATCATGTAAACTGCCTACCCCTAATACAAGAGGTGATACCTCCAGAGCAGGGACAAAACTAGGCGGCATCTCCCAGATTCCTTGCAATCCACACTATATCTATCTCTGGATAATGGTTTGAATGCAGTTTCTATTGATTCTCTTGTAATGGTTGTAAAAAGTGACAAATTAAATTAAACATGAGCCTGAATCAGTAATCAGTACTTTGGGTTTAATCTTATTAAGAAATGCAAGTATGCTAAAATTATTCAAGTACTTAAAATAATTATACATCATGGAACAACAATATTCCAAATATCAGTGATCAACAGCCAATATATCTATAAGCAATAACATTTTCCATACCTATTTGCGTATCTCAATGTATTTAGAGTGTTTTCACATGATGCCATCCCTGGAGAAATTGTAGCGATCTGGAGAAAATAAGCTATGCATTAATAAATCACTTTGTACAGATGAAAGGATAGAAGACCTCCAATTATTTTTTTTAATCTCCACTTTCGAGATGTTCTACAAAAACTGTCTACTATGTACAGCTGTCCTAATACAATGGCATCTCAAGAAGAGAGATGTCAAGTCAAAGCTTCAATTTAATTTTTTCAACCATACCTGAAATATTAGGAATTCATAGAAATTTCAGTCAATTTTCCCCATCTCACAGTCTTTGTAAATAATATGTAAATGCAAAACTCTAATTAAAAAAAAAGACTTCTCAGGGAGGGAAATATGCAACTCGGTAGAAAGTAAGTCTAATATATCCTGCAAACAATTACTGATTATTTATATATATATATATATATAAATAATTGTGGTCTGTTCAAGCAAACTGTATACTTATTTGAGAGACCTATTTTGGCCACAGTCTAAAACTGTACATAATAATATTAAAGATAAGTATGTGTTTATTTCCCTAAGTAAAGATTTATAATTTTTGTCTGAACTGTTATCCGTAAATAATACTTAATAACTTACTTATTATCAAACATGAGGAAACTATAAGTCTTTCCTTTTCCAGTTAAATAAAATACCCTGAAGATCTCACCTTCTTTTCAGTACTCAGTAAAAATAATAACTGTGATCAGGCAACAGTGGCATCATTATTTGCACTAGCTTCTCTCAGTAGTTTAATTTTCTCATCTGTGCTCCTTTCAGGAGAGCTATGAAGACTTTTCTTTACCCAGGACAAACACCTCTATGATCCTACACACTAACATTTTTTTTTTGGTAGCAGAGCATCAGGAGACTGAAACTGATTGACTATTAGATAATCCTGGTCTTCTCATTTATCTTGCTGCTGACATTACTGTACAAAAGCACAGGTAGTCATCCTGAGAGGAACTTCTCCTACTGGGAGGAAAGGAAAAATATGTGGTGGGAGTGTATTAGAAAGTCTAAAGAGTCTGTTAGCACACTGACTTAAGTTTAAATCTCTAATACTGTTATGCATCAGTTACTAATGAAAACAAGTGTAGATTTAAAAATATCATAGGATTCCATGTCTCTCTATAAAGCATTTTCAGTGCTAATTAACAAAACCCTACAAGTTCCTAAAATTCTTCCAAAGACATTTAATGCAAAAGATGCATGCACCTCTTCCATCAGTTTAATGTTCAGAGTACATCACACATGGCAAATGTCATGTCAGGTGACTGCTCCAACTTTTTGAAGAGCATAAGGTACAGCTGCTATAAGGAAGTACCACTGTAGGTGCTGTCAGCCATAATGATACCCCCTTCAGGGCACAAGAACCCATGCATAAGACTCAGTCTGTTGAACAGAAACATGCACTACATCATATGCCTCAACAAGTGCAGTCCCAGAAGGACAGGAGGACTACAACCTCTCCATCAATCACTTCCTCATTCATAATTCCAAATGAGGATGGAAAAAGCAGCACTATTTATGGACAGGAATATCCTTTAGAACTGTAATTATCATTCTCCGTATTTTGAATGTGTCTGCATTGCTTATAAGCCATCACAGTGGGATCAATGGTCCTTTTGGGACACTGAAGTCACCAAGTTCCTACTTTCCCCCCTGGAGAGCTGAGGGGTCTGGCACTTCAGCTATGGTTGAAGCATGTCAAGAATGCAGCATGTAGAGGATGCAGTACTGGTTAAAAAATGAGACTATTCTAACTATCTACCTGTGTTGGGTAGACCTTGGCTGGACACCAGGTGCCCATCAAAGCTGCTCTATAACTCCCCTCCTCAACTGGACAGGGGAGAGAAAATATAATGAAAGACTCATGAGTTGAGATAAGGGCAGGGAGAGATCAAAAACTGATTACCATCACAGGCAAAACAGACTTGGGGAAATTAATTGAATTTATTACCACTAAAATCAGAGTAGGATAATGAGAAGCAAAACCAAATTTTACTAACACCTTTCCCCCACCCCTGCCTTCTTCCCAGGCTCAACTTTATTCCCGATTCTCTACCTCCTCCCCCCAGTGGCACAAGGAGATGGGGAATGGGGGTTATGGTCAGTTCATCATACATTTCTGCCACTCCTTCCTGCTCAGGGGGAGGACTCCTTCCCCTGCTCCAGCATGGGGTCCCTCCCACAGGACACAGTCCTCTACAAACTTCTCCAATGTAAGTCTTTCCCATGGGCTGCAGTTCTTCATTAACTGCTCCAGCACGTGTCCCTTTCTACAGGTGGCAGTCCTTCAGGAACAAGCTGTTCCAGCGTGGATCCCCCACGGGGTCACAGTCTCCTTTGGGTATCCACCTGCTCCAGCATGGGGGTCCTCCATGGGTGTATCTCTGCATCCCCATACCTCCATGGGCTGCTGTGGGGAAAGGGTTAACCTTTTGCAGGAAGACTACTACAAAGAATGCTGGGAGATGTAGTCTCTGCACAAGGCCCCCGCAGGAAGTACTCGACTGAGCATGCCCACTTGACAGGCTCGAGAGTGATTGGTTGGGAAGGTCACATGTTCTGTTATGACGTGGCTCCATTTGAATTCAAGGATATATAAACCTGGTTTGTTCCCTAATAAATGGATTTGCTAGTTTGAACTTAAGCTGGTTGGTCTGTGTCTCGCTGCCACAGCTGCAGGGGGACAACCTGCCTCACCATAGTCTTCACCACAGACTGCAGGTGAATCTCAGTTCTGGCTCCTGAAGCATCTCCTCCCCCTCATTCTTCACTGACCTTGATGTCTGCAAAGTTGTTGCTCTCTTCTCTGTCTGCAATTGCTTCTGTGCAATAACTTTTTTTCCTTCTTAAATTTGTTATCACAGAGGTACTACCACCATGGCTGATGGGCTCTGCCTTGGTCAGTGGTGGGTCTGTCTTAGAGCCGGCTGGCATTGACTCCATAAGACACAGGGGAAGCTTCTAGCAGCTCCTCACAGAAGCCACCCCTATAGCTCCCCCTGTTACCAAAACCTTGTCACGCAAACCCAACACACTACCATGCAAATGTCAAATAATGATATATTATCCTACTATGTAGCTCTTCATAAACAACATAAAATATTGTGTTTAGTTTTGGGCCACTTGCTACAAGAAAGACATTTGAGGTGCTGCAGCATGTCCAAAGTGCAGCAATGAAGCTGGTGAAGGGTGCAGAGCACAAGTCTTAGGAGCAGTTGAGGGAACTGGGGTGTAAAATCTAGCAAAAAGGAGGCTTGGGGAGACCTTCTGACTCTCTAAAACTACCAAAAGGAGTTTATAGTAAGGTGGGTGTTGGTTTCTTTTCCCAAGTATCCAGTGATAGGATGAGAGGAAACGGCCTCAAGTTACACCAGGGGAGGTTTAGACTGGATATTAGGAAAAACTTCTTCACTGAAAGCATTGTCAAGCCCTGGCACAGGTTGCTCAGGGCAGTGGTGGAGTCACCATCCCTGGAGGCATTTAAAAGACATGTAGATGTGGCACTTGGGGATATGGTTTAGTGGTAGGCTTGGCAGTGCTGGGGGAACATGATTCTATGAAATGGTTTTTGAAAGTGTTTAAGGACAAGAACTTCATTAAAATTGAAATGACAAAATTATAAAAAAAACAATTTATGCTGACTATATGTGTCATAGTTCCGATTTTATCAAGGAATTTTCCTTTTCCTTCCCCCTGCCGTGTGTGCTCTGTGTATTAGGCTAGCTATCAGATGAACAAAAGAATCGGCCCATCCACTAATGGCCGAGAGATTAGTCTCCTTGACAACGAAGGGGGAGGAGTTGGGGGGGGCTAGTGTGTGGTTGGAAGGAGGTGGGGAGGAGAGGTTGGGGTGCCGGTGGGGGCAGGACCTGCTACAAGCTGCAGAGCTGCCTGGTTTCTTCTTTCTTCCTGTCACAGGGGAGTTTGCTGCTGCTCTCTTCTCAGCTGTTGCTGGTTGCAGGCCCTGCTTAAAGCTAATCCTAACCAACTGAAGTTCGTGAGTTTTCTTCCATTGGGAGAACTTTCTGTTTTATTGCTGGTTTTTTCCTTCCCCCTTCCCCCCCCCCCTTTTTCCAGTGTGGGAAGAGAAGGGGAATTGAGTTTTTTTTTGTTTTTTCTCCGATATACCCTGGGGGGTGTTGCTTTTTTCCCCTTCCCCCAACCCACCTGGTGGCAACCAAGGATCTCACAGCGCTGCCTGGTGACGGGCACTGGACATTACAAGTTCTGCTCCTCCAGTGATCCAACAGTGCCACCTGGTGACTACAATAGGACACTACAAGTTCTGCGCCTCCAGTGACCCAACAGCGCCACCTGGTGAATGGTACAGGACATTACAAGTTTTGCATCTCCAGTGACCCGACGGCACCCCCTGCTGACTGTGGTTGGAACTGTACCAAAGGGTGCAAAAAATTGAACTATTTAATTTTCCTTTTGCCGGTTTATCGGTTTTGTTCTTGAAGGGGATTATTGGTGGGTATAGGAGTATTGCCTGGTTGTTTAACTTGGGTTTTTTTTGTGTTCCTGCTAATACACACATACCTTTTAATAAAGGGCTGTTATTTTCCCTTTTCCATAATTTGTTTTCCTTCAATTGGAACCTCTTAATTTTGGATTTATAATTGCTTAGAAAGAGAAGTTTGGGTCTTTTTCTCTTAATCCATCCTCAGCAAAAGACCCTTGTCTCATTTAAACTGGGACAATATGTCTCTGGATTTCTTTAGAATGATGTGGATCCTAGTCATAACTGTCCACAGGGAAGTTATTTTCAAAATAAGTTTTTGAATTTTTTTTGAATTTCACAAGAATATGTTTCTGAATAATATTTTAACCTTCTATACAGATGTGATGCTCCATGCCTAAAGATTTATCTTTAAAGATTGCAACAAGAAATTACATAAATGATAAAAGGTAAAGTCAAATAAAAATTGTGTAGAAATTATCAAAAGAAATTTGACTCAAACATCCCATTCAAAAATTATACATCAGAAAGAAAGTGGAAAAAGCCCAGTAGGTATTTTATACCAGG